ATATATAGCCAGCTCCATCATGGTGGAAGAGTATGGCAGAGGGAAGCAATTCACATGATAATCAGAAGGCAGAGAGAGTGAGTCTCCACTCTCCAGATATAAAATATATATTTCATAGCCATGTCCCCAATAAACCACTTCCTCCAGCCACATCCCATCTGCCTCCAGTTACCACATAGTTAATCCCATCAAGGATTAATCCACTGATTAGGTAAAGGCTATAACCCACTCATTTCTCCTCCAAATCTTCTTACATTGTCTCACACGTGAGCTTTTGGGGGACACCTCACATCCAAACCACAACTTTGGGAAATGAAATCTCAGAGCTTCTATCTGCCTGACCACTCTCCCCTGCCACATTTGCATTAATGTGGGTGCACCCCAGATTCAGAAGGGCTAGTTGTAGAGGCAGCCTCCTATGTAGGAAGGGGGAGCAGAGCTGCCATCCTCTTTTTCTCTAATGTCCAAACACTTCCTGGACAAGACCTAAAGAGCAAGAAGATAGACCACCATCTCTTCTTCTCCTTCCCTTTCTTCTTTCCACCAAGGCCTTGAGAACCCAGTGATGAGTTTTCCTTCTCATTTTCCTGTGCCTTAACCACCTGCTGTGCAGGCCCACACCTGTTCTAAAAGGAGGGGTGTTTTTCCTACATGGCAGGAGAATGCTATGAGCTGGATCTTCTAGGCTGGGCTTTTGATATTCTAATAGAAAGACTAGAAAACAGTCTGGCTTCCAATAGTAGTATTTCCTGCCTGCTGTATGATCCTATATATTAGCAGAAGTGGAATGTTACCACATTTTTAAAATTCTTTCTGTAACAAATCCTAATCTCCCACACACACAAATACCTTGGCGTGGCAGGGCAAACAGCATGTGTTCAGAAAAGCAAAAGAAAAACACACATTAATAATTTTCAAATGACCACTCTTATACACATTTAAGTATAATTATAGTGGGCATATTTTTGTTTTATATTTTCAAGACTACAAGTAGTAAGTGACTACATCCTCATGGCAAAAACCACCCTGGCCACTGTTTTATAATTTACTTTTGTCATTTCAAAACAGTCTTTGCCATTTTCCAGTGTAATTCAATTTCCCATTGTAATTCCCACTTAATTCAATATTCTACTAAAATATGCTTTTCATTCCCTGATTGGTGTTCCATTGTCCAATGTACTTTTGCACATTTAATCTTTAGCCAGTCTAGTTTGTGAGATAGTTGTTTCCAACTGACTGGGGATGAACAGACTTTGTACACATTTTGGGGTACTCTGGGGGACATAAATGTCTAGAGGTGAAATGGTTGAGTTAAAAGAATACACATGGTTCTGGTAAAAGATGTTACAAATTACCTAAAGATCCTCAGAAAAGTCATAGTATTTTCTAGTTCCATGAGCATTGTTCTCACCACTCCCCATCATACAAGGCAGGAAGCTGAGAAGATGGAGGAGACTCTGGTCCCCTGTGACCTTCTCCACCGCCACATTATGAGACAAAGCAACCAACCGTGTCTGCTTTATGAAGGAGACTATAACCAGCAGACTACTTCAAGAGATGCTCAGAAGCTGATGCTTCACTTTTTTTTAATTTTGCTTCTGAATATCTTTTTCATTTATATCTCAATTGATATATAAGGCCAAACTGTCACATGATGGTTTAAACTTGTCAGATAAAGTCAAAGTCTCATTTCTTTAATAACTAACTGGAGAGTCCATGAGTCAACATGTAAAAAAGAAAAAAAAAAGGTGGTTGTAGAGGGGGGCCAATAAAGGAAAATACCAGAATTACTTAAATGTTAGAAGATGATGATGATGATGATGAGCAAAATGTAATCAATAAAAATCAGCCACAGGAAGGAATTCAAAAGACTTACAGGAAAAAAAAAGAAAAGAAAAAGGAGTTGTTAACATTTGTTGGAAGAAAAAAAATATCCTAGCAATTTTTTCTACTTGGCTTCAAGTTCTCATCCTAGCAGAATGAACTCTTTCTTCCAGGAATTGGTGGCCAAATTCTCTCTAGATGGAGCTTACAAGTGCTTCTAACTCTCCTGCAATCTGGGATCGTGTGTGTCCATGATTCTCACAAGCCAAGAAAGTTAAAAAGAATAGGAATCAGCAGTAGGGGTCTCCAACTTTCCCTTTCCCCAAAGAAATACTTCATACATTGCTTGTCTTAGGCAGAGAAATCCCACAGAATTAGGTACCAGCAACAGTGACAAAGGATTCAGGAGTTCAACTACTACTCCGTAAAATGTATTCAGTGTCTACTCGAGTGTGGCATATTAGAACACCAAAGTGTCTCCAAAATATGAACAGACCTTGCATAAAACATGTAATTCAAGAGAAATTTTCCTATTGCAATTCTGTATTTGTTCCTCATGAAAAAGGTGCTGGCTAAAAGCAGAAATTCTAGAAATATCTCATAGTTCAATCCTGATCCTCTTAGGAACAGAACTTAGATCTATTTGCTTAACCTTTCTGTGTCTCAGTTTACTCATCTGTAAGATGAAGATGATGACACACAATATCTCATTTGATTCTTCTAATAGTGCCAGAAGGTAACAACACTCCCTACTTCAGTAAGTTGTTGCACTGACCAAGTGAATTAATGTGTGTAAAGTGTTCAGAACAGTGCTGGCACATGCATGCTTTGTGTTTGCTTATTAATTTTTATACTGTCAGTTAAATTGGGGTTACTATGTAGCAACTGTATAAACAGTGTAAAATTTACTTGGCTCTGGGAGATTTTTATTAGTTCAAAATGTATGTAGTTAATGGGACTTCATTAATCTACACTGCATTATTTTAAACTTGCATAATGTAAATGAGTATGCACTATATAGGCTTTAAGTGCAATGGGTAATATTCAATTTCTTGTACTTTTAAACAGCAATTATTATTGATGAATATGTAAGGGCTCTGGTGGGTCAGATGACAGGCAGGCTTCAAGGCATGGGGAATATGAAGATGCCTGTCCAGGTTGACCCCCCAAGAGAAACCAGTGATAATACTGTGTGCCAGGCACTACTCTATGGCTTTCAGATGTATTATCATATTCAATTCTTACTATAGCCCTACAAAGTAATGGTTATCAGAGCCCCATTTTACAGATGAAAAGACTGAGGCAAAAAACCTTAAGCAACTTGTCCAAGGTCACCCAGCTGGTAAGTGGTGGCATGGTATTTAAACTTAAGTATATTACCCAAAGAACTCAAGTGTAATTGTTTTATTACAATTCAGAAAGTTGTGAAGTATGCCAAGTTCCTCTTAGGTTCTTCTATTTTTTTCTCCCTTCAGGGCTTATTTATTTTGTAAATACAGCCCTACCAGCAGCTATTATGGGCATGGGTATTCTTAAAGCAGACAATTTGAAAATACAGAAAGATAGAAAGAGAAAAACTTCAAACATAATATTTTCACCCAAAGATGACCATTGTTTAAATTTGGGTGTATTTCCTTAATCTTTTCCTAAGCACATGGTTTTAAGTTTATTTTACATATGTGATAAAATTATATACACAATTTTAAATCTTTCTTTTCTCTCCTATCTCATGATATTAAAAACTTCATAAAGTTCCTTTAAATAGACTTCATAATCTGCTGCATGGCAGTTCCAGAATATAGTTATCATTTCTCTCATGTTGGATGTTGGAGTTTTTCCAGTTTTTCTTTTTTTCCCCCACAGTGGAATGAATCTTTGTCTCCTTTTTTGATAGTTCTCCTTTTCTGACAGTCTTCAGATCCCCCTCGGCCATCCAAGAATCCTGATAAAACACTATCCTTCCTGCAGTCAAAGTTTACTTTCTAGAAGGGAGCTTATCAAACTCATTCATACTAAAGTATACATGGTTGATAAAGCTTATCTTCTTTTTAATCCTGCTTTTATCAATCTAAGACAAGGGAATGAAGCTTGAATTGTTGGGTTATAGTCATCAGATAATGTAGTGAAAGATCTCTTCCCAACCCCCAACTAGAGAGTAGACTCCACATTGGCAAAAAATTACAGGGCTCACCTTAATTTCAGTAAAGTTTATGAGAAGGCAGTTGAAAACTGAGGAGGTGGTAATGTGCTAAAAGAGATGAAAAGAATTTAAGTGAGAGTTTTAAAAAAAATGGGTAGAAGAATGAAAGATTTAGAAATTTCACTTAGCAGCACAAAGTATATTTGGCATCACTAACCTAATTTCTCCAGCTCTCGGGTTTGCCTTTCTAACGTGTTTGGCCTTAAGAGATGGGCCTGCCCACCTTCCTAGAACAGTTGGACGGGTTCTCAGCCCTAATTACCAAGCGCTGCTGAGGAGCAAGTCACCAGGAGCACAAAGTAGAGTTGTGACAGGGATCATCATCTGCAGGTGCAGGGAACACTTCCAAGTCTGTGTCCACAAGCAAATACTGTTGAAGCCTCGCCTCTTTAAGTCTCAAAATTCAAAGTAATAATCTCTGCGGGGGGATTAGCGGCCCTGTGTGAAAGTTCCGGAAGCCTTGTTCTACTGCCAGTGCTCGCTCGCTCTTTCCTTTGCTCGCCCAGAGCCTTCAGGTTTTCGAGACGTCTGCCAAATCACATCCTGCATGGAAATCAAGAGCGACTCAAGGCATAACCAGTGTCCCCCAACTCAAAGCCTCTCCTAACTCTCAAGGGCAGCGCGTCCTCCCAGTGCCAGCAATGGGAAGGCTGGTGTGGAAGAAAAAAAGAGAGAGAGAGAAAGAGAGAGAGAGAAAGAGACAGAGGGAGGGCGGGGCAGTGACTCCGCCCCCTCTGGATAAGGGGCCAAACGAACCCTAAATTCCAAGACCTAACACGAGGGGGGGGGGACGAGCGATAGCCACTCTAGCTGAAGGCCATGGGGCAGACCAGGTTCCTGGAGAAGCACCCCCAGTTCCAGCCGGTGCGCTGGGCGCCTTCCCACGCCTGCTCTGCGGGACCCCAGGCGCCCCACGCACGCACCCACCCGCCTCCCTGGGCCCGCCGCTCCTCCCTCCTTCTTCACTGGTTGGCCGGGTCGCTGCAGAGAGCAGCGGCAGCGGGAGGAGCCGGGCGCGCCCGCCACGCAAAACCACCGCTCTAGCTGGGTGGCGAGCAGGCTGCGCGATCCCAGGTGGCAGCGGTGACAGTGACAGCGGCAGCGGCAGTAGTCTGTGCGCTTCCTCTCCCAGGAGCACTCGCATCCCGCCTCCGCCGCGCCTCTGAGCTGCCGGCGATCCCGGGAGCCCCGGCCCACGCGCCCACGGCCGAGCCCCGCGCACAATAGCGGCGGTCGCAGCTGCGGCTCCAAACCTGGACACCAGCCATGGGGAAGACGGCGAGGAAGGGATATGACTACAAGCGCTTCCTGAAGAATAACTGGTTGCTGCTCTCCACGGTGGCCGCGGTGGTGCTAGGTGAGAGCGCGGCGGGTGGGCGATGCGCGCACCCTCACGCGAGCCCAGAGCCCAGGCCGCGTGCGGCGTGTGCGAGTGCAAGGGTGGGCATGGCCCGGGCACAGACTCTGCCGGGGCCACCCGCTCCCCTTGGACCTTGGCCTTGGACTCTGGCCTTGGACCCCAGACCGCCGTTTTCCCCCAAGCGCGCAATTTATGCATGCCAAGAATAAAGCTACTCGGGGGACTCCGTTTTGGGTTGCTTTACCCAAAATGATCAAAGGGGATTTAAAGGTGCGAAGGGAAGCAAGTAGCTCTGTTTTCTGCCCCTTTGAAAGCAAGCGTGGCTTAATTTTTTTTTTTCCATCCTATCTGCCCCACCCCCCGCTTTTTTCCTCCCTGAACATTGTTATCCCTCCAGTTACCGGAACAGATTACAGTTCTTTGTAGGAGTAGAAGAGACACCTTAGCCTGGGGGCTGGCCTAGCCTCCAGGGGAGATTAGGAGTGTTGCCGCCCCTCACCCTGGGCGGTGCACGGAAAGGTACCTTCCAAGGGAGTGAGCGCCTGCTTTCTGCACCGGAGCTCTGTAGAATTGCCAGATGCATGCCTGAATTCAGGGGCGTGCAGTTGTGGCCCACGGGAGATCACAGGGGAAAAGACAGAACTCGCATAGCCCAGTCTTCCTGTGCTACCTTGCTCTCCACGTTTTCTAATAAAAATAATGTTAAGCCAGTTTTACTTGTTTTTAAGCATTTAAACTAGGGTGTATTTAAGTGATTCACTCCGGACAGATCACTGGACTAGGTTGTTGTCAGAGCTCGGAGGTATGGGTTATTCGTATTTTAGATACTTAATTTCTGCCAAGGTCGTCTCTTTTCTCATTTGGGCCCAGGGATACCCTTCTTTGAGCTTGCACAGGTGGAGAAATCCAGTCAGGTGAGGGCTGGTGCACCCTCTGGAGAAAGTGGATTCCTTGACAGGCTCCACCCTCTGCTTGGAAACCTGCTACCTTTAATAGAAAGGCAGGTGGGGTGGGGCAGCCTGTCTCCTTTCTAACCTCGTGCACCTTCCTCTCGGTCTGCTGCTTCTAAATCTGAGTGTTTGGTGCTGCCTGCCGCCTTCCAAAATCCTCCCCATCAAAAAAAACGAGACAGCAACAACAGAGAAAAACCTCTGGATGTTAATGGGATACTTGGGGTCAGACAGGCTCCTCCTGAACCTTGTGCAAAGGAAAGTCATGTTTCTGGTAAATAAATAATATCCTGGAATTGCCTTAGCAGAGAACATCTGTGGGAGGAAAGAAGACAAGTGTTGACTTCTTACCTCTAGAAATTGCCAAGTGACTTTGGGCATTTTTAGAGACAGGTTTGTCCTGCCCTACCACATGTAAATAGCAATTCTATAAAGAACAATTTGATTCGATTTCCCTTTGGCCAAATAGAAGAGATGGCCATGTTTGTTTTCCTAGTAAATAATTGGAATTATTAAATGCCTTTATAAAGACTTTAGGGATAACCCTAGTCAGTGTCTCCCTCCCAGTCCCAGTGCAAGTGCAGTGTAATGCTGCCTTTTCAGCCCTGAGCTCTCCAGACACTCATTTGTTAACCAAGTGGTCACCACAGCCACTCACTAGATGCCAGTTTGAAAGATTTTGAGTAGTTGTTCCCTGACCTTTGGATCCAGTTGCATATCTTCAGTGTCAAGAGTGATTTCGTGTCCATTTGCAGGTGTCTTTTGGTATCAGGTGGACCTTTCTCCATAAAGACAATTCACCATTTAAAAATTGTACGTGCCTGGCTAAAGTATGGTTGGACATTTGCTTCTCTAGACTGCAACCCTGGAAAGTCCCTCCACAAGTTTCTGCTTCTGACCTGAGAAGTCTCAAGTTTAAACCATCCCCACCCAAGCACTTCCTGGGTTCCTCCTCTTTTCCTTCTTTTTGGAATGTCCTGGGCCTGAGTGAAAAATCATACCTCTTTTTGTGTGATTAATACCAGCTCACTTGCTTAACAAGCAGTGAAATTCTAGCCACTTGACAACAGTGGCACTGAGTATCCATTAGCCCTTTGCTAGGTTATGATACTAAGAGTTTATAACTGCCTTAATTGATTCAGAAGAATCACAGAACTCTTCTGCAACCGCCTTTTCTGGACTTTTCTTCTTAAAAAAGAAAAAAACCCTCAAATTTATTAACTACCCTGTTGAAATATCATCTTATTACAGTCATTGAAATGTTTGGTTCTTGCTGTATATAGATCAGCAGCCCTGACTTTATAAAATATTTCAATTATTGAAATAAAGGGCAAAGACTCTTTATGAGGCTGTTTAGAGTCTAGTTTTCCAAGATACCACATATAAGAGGAAATGCAATTAAAGATCATCTTATTAAATGAGAAATTAACTCTTTTCATGGACAAGAAGATGCTATGAACTAAACATTTCTCAAATTCGTATTCACAAAGTGAAGGAATTAAATAGTAAGGTAACCACCTTTATTAATTTCTGTGAAATCCTACAGGATCCTGAAAATAATATCTTGGATTTTCACATGAAAAGCCTTTCCTAAAATGCCATGAGGATCATTTCCATTGCTTCTATTATAATTCTTATAGGCTTTTCCCTGCTTCTCTAGTAAAAGAGAATCAGCACAGAGCTTGGAGCTAGACCTGGGCTTGAATTCTGGTACTGTCAAGCTCTACCATCTAGAAAAATTGCTTACTTTCTGGGACCCTCAGTTGCCTTATCTGGAAAATGGGGATATGTTATTAGGGTTAAGATAATGTAAAAATACCCAGTTTCGTGGCTGGTATATGATAGGCACTCAATAAATGTTATTTCAAGGTAAATCTGAATGATTTGATGATGAGAAAATTAATATTTTCTTATGAAATAAAGTCTCCCAAGCCATGTCACTGTCTTCTTTCCTCTTAGTGTTCAGCCTATAATTTGGAGCTCTAAACCAATACCTCTGTAACATTATTCCTTTCTTAAGGGAACTGGAAAGAATTAATCATTTTGCTTTGTGCCCTACAGCTTGATCCTCAATTCCTTTAACAAGCAGAAATTAAGAAGGAAGAGGTTTTGTGTTGTAAGTGGGAATGCTGTCCAAGCAGAATTACCCAGTGAGAGAATTCTGTGAGCACTCTGATCCCAGTTACCCCAAAACAATGATATCACATGAGGTGTTGGTAGGCTATTGTGTTGCCCTTTAACCACCTGGAAGTATAAAGCCTCATCTTCCTTTCCAGACTGGTTAAGTGTGATTTCACTCATTTGGAAAAAATCTGTGATTTCCAGCTTAGGAATCTTGGGAGGAAGCAATAGGTATTGTTTACACAATGGCGCAAGAAGGTTTACTGTTGTAAATCATTTCCTTTGGAGCCCTGAGGAAGCAATCATTGATAGATTGCAATTTTCCATGGTCTAAAATTAAAAACAATTCCCTCACGTTCTTGGTAATACCCTTGCCTCACATCTCCTCTGCTGGAGTTTTCGTGACATATACCTGGCGGTGTTCATTTGAGACTTGATATTTGCTTTCTTTTGTCTGATTTTATGTCTGTCTGTGAAGTCCCTGAGGCCAGCCATAAGTCATGCTGGTTTCAGGACCAGACCCTCACATCACAGAGCCTCGGCTCAGCAGGGTTGAGGAACCAACACTTACATCATTTGCTCAACAAATATGTAATGGGTACCCACTGTGTGCAGGGTCTGTTTTTAAAGCTGGATCACACAGCAACTGTCAAAATTCCCTGCCCTTGTGGCACTTATGTCCCAGTAGAGAGAGGTAGAGGGTAAACAATAAGTTGGCAAAATACAACATAGAGTATGTGAGATGGTGATAGTGATCTAGAGCAACATAAAGCCAGGTAAGTGGTTAGGGAAGGTAGGGGCTACAATTTTAATAAGGTGACAGGGAAGGCCATTACTGAGGGTGATGGTTGAATCAAGGCTGAAAAGAGGTGAAGGAACAAGTTTTCACAGATATCTGGGAAATACCACAACTCTGTCATTAAACAGCAAGGAAAGGAGTGAGGTGAGCAGAGAGTGGAAGGAGATGATGTGGAGGTGAGAAGGGGACAGACCAAATGGTAGCTAGTGTAAGATCCAGAGATGTTATTTTTTATTTTGTTTCACTTTTAGGAGACTTGATCCTGATTTAACCTGGGGAGAAACAATCATTACAAGTAAAGATACAGGGACTAGGGTTGTGACTCAGTGATAGAGCCTTTGCTTAGCATGTGTGAGGCACTGGGTTCAATTCTCAGCACCACATATAAATAAATAAATTAATGACCATCAACGACTAATAAAAACATTTTAAAAAGAGATAAAGATACAGGCAGAGAAGGATGAATGATGGGTGATGAGGCCCAGGAGAACAAAAGACACTCATCTGTGGGTGGAGTGGTCTGGTGAGGGCTTACCCTGGGCAGGGATGGGCTTCCACACTCCCAAGATGGAAGGTGAAGAGTTAAGGTTGTATTCATTTCCTGTGACTACTGTTAAGAGCTGTAAACAGGGTGGCCGAAAACAACAGAAATTTATTCTCACCAAGTTCTGGAGGCCAGAAGTCTGGAATCTGGCAAGTGCTTCTGGACTCTTCCACCTTCTGCTGGCAGTCCCAGCATTCCTGAGCTGGTGGCCATACCTCATTTTCACACCACTTTCTTCTGTGTTTGTGTGTGTGTGTGGTCTCCCACTAGCTCTGTCTTCTGTGGTGGCGTTTTTGAGCTTGCTTGGAAAATTCTCCTTTGAAGATCCTTAACTAAATCACATCTTGCCATATAAGATAATACTCACTCTTCTGCCACACAGGCTACTATTCACAGGTTCCAGAGACTACGGCATGGGCCTGTTTGTATGGAGACCACCAGTCCAACCCCTACAATAGTTAATCTTTGAAACTGCTGTTAAAGTGACCTTTCTCTAAGAAGTAGACTGGATCATAGTGCTCCAGGGCTTAAAACAGTGCAGAACTGCCCACTGCCCGCTGGGTGGAGAGGATGTCCTTTTTAGCATGACATCCACAACCCCCCACTGTCTGCATCTAGCCCGCTCGACTCATCCTTCAAGACCCAGATTAGACCCTCCCTCATCTGGTTAGCCCCCCCACCTCTCGCCCCAAGGTGGTGCAAAATGCCCTCCCGTCCAGTTTCACAGGTGAGATCTAAGACTTAGGGTTGCTTACCATATGCCAAGCACTGTTCTGATCCATTTGATCTTTCTATCAAGCATATTTTCAGGACATTGAGGCCAAGAGAGTGAAGAAATTAGTCCAAGGTCACTGATCAAAGGCAGAGCTGGGATTCAAATCCTGGCAGTCTGGCTCCAGAGACTGCTCCTAACCATTCCCACTGCTGTTTCTAACTAGTATCTGCCTGGTATTTATGACTCTACATTCTGGTTTCTCTGCCTCCATGAGCCCTGGAGGGAAGGAATCCTGTACTGCTCCTCTCTGTGCCTAGAGCAACTGTCTCTGTGCCTGGTAGATGACATTCAACATTTGTTGAATTGTTGAACCATTTAAGACCCAGAGAGTTAGTAAGAATAAATCACTGAGCACAAAACTTACATAAAACTTCATTTTCTCTATCTAGTTCAGCCCCATCTGATCTATGTCAGTAGCACAGATTAACACTTCCCTTAGTCTACATTTATATCAAGCATGCTCATCTTTTCTTCCTTAAACTAGATT